TACAAAAAGCACTATTCCCAAAAGAAAAAAAAAAATGCTTTCCTAAAGACATTGTTAAGAAATAAAAAGCAAGTCACAAAGAACATATTTGTAATCCAACAAAGACTTTCATCCAAAATACATAAAGAACTAATATAATTGAATAAATAACCTAACTTTAAAAATGGGTACAACCCAGCCCCACCCCACCCCTGCATTCACCAAAGTGAATGAAAACAAATACTAACAATGGCAGTGCTGGGCTTAAGGCAGGAGTGATCACTTGAACTGTGAGGGGAACCTGAAACAGCTCCAGTGGACATGAGTGCGGTAACTCGCTCAGTCCTGAGAGTGAATACCTGGGGCCTGCGAGCCAGGAGCCTCCTGAGGCCCGAGGTTTCTATCTGCAACCTGTGCTGTCACTGCTCTCCAGAGGGCAGAACACTCAGCCAGGAGGTGCAGCTGGCAGGCCCCAGGCCTGGCCTCCATAATGAGAGCCCCGAGACATTCTTTGTGTCCCAGCTTTGCAGGTGAGGGTGACCGCTGACTAGTGAAAAAGGGGACCTAAGGTTCACGACTATCTTCTTACTGGTAGTACAGCTACCTGTGGAAACCTGAGATCCATTTACACAATGGAATACTGTGCGGCTGTAAAGGAGCTCTTACCCTTTGCGACCGCATGGATGGACCTGGAGATCATCATGTTAAGCAAAATAAGCCAGTTAGAGAAAGACAAATATCCATGGTTTCACTTATATGTGGAATCTAATGAACAAAATAAACTCACAAACAAAATAGAACCAGAGACGTGGATGCATGGAACAGACTGACAGATCTCAGAGGGGAGGGGGTGGAGGGGATTAACCAAAGAACATACATGTATATAGGCATAGCCCATGGACACAGACAATAGTGTGGGAAAGGCCTGGGGGGTGGGGAATGGGTGCAGGGGGGCAAAGGAGGGGGAAATGGGGAACATCTGTAATACTGTCAACAATAAAAAATGGGTACAACCCAACTTAAGAAAGAAGAGAAAGAAAAAGAGAGAAACAGAGAGAGTGGAAAAGAGAGACAGAGTGAGAAAGAGAAGGGGGGGAAGAAAGGAAGCCATGCATAACATAAGCACAGCAAGTTTATATTTAATTTTTTGCGTTAATGTATAAACATAGCTGTGTGACTCCCCATGGCATAATTCGTATTTTTCTGTAGTACAATAATCAGTGTTAATTTCATGTACTCGCTTTCTCTGAGAAATTATTTGTTTTTAAAATGAAAAGAAATGGGCACAAAACTTGAACATTTACAAGAGATGTGTAAATGGCCAATAAGTTCAATATAATTAGTTGTCAGAGAGATGCAAATTAAAACCACAGGGAGATGCTACTTTCAATTTACTTAGAATGTACTACCAAAAAGACTGGCAATATCAAATATTAGCGGTGATGTAAGTATTAGCCGATTAGAGAGGATGTAGAGAGGACATTAGAGAGCATGGGATTCCCACACATGGCTGGTGAGAATGAAGTGGTGCGACCACTTTGAAAACAGTCTGGCATTTTCTCACAGCTATTGTGTGCCTAGATATTTACCCAGGAAAAATGAAAGTATATTCACAGCAGCTTTATTCATAATAGCCAAATGGATATGACCCAAATGGTTAAACAGCAGGGGAATGTAAACAAACTGTGGTGCCTCCAGACGAGAAGACGCCGATCAGAAACAGAAAGCAGTGAGCTGCTGACTCACGCAAATGGGAGAATCTCTGTGACACAAGGGCACATGCTTTACATGAAGTTCCAGAACAAGCAAAACTACACTCAGATGCTAGAAATCAGAACATCAGTATCTTGCAGGGGGACAGGGGTGGGGCTAACTGAAAGGAGCCTGGCAAACTTTCTAAGGGGTTGGAAATGTCCCACACATTAATGTGGGTGGTGGCTACACAGGTGAATAGATTTGTTAAAACTCATCCAAATATACACTTAACATCTGTGCATTTACTACATGTAAATTAGATGTCAATAAAGTCTCTAATTCTTGCCCTGGCCAGTTTGGCTCAGCTGTTAGAGAGTTGGCCAGCGGTCCGGAGAGGCCCAGGTTCAGTTCCCGCTAGGGGCACGTACCTCAGCTGCAGTTTGTCCCTGCCCTGGTTGGGTCGTGCGGGTGGCAACCACTCGATGTGTCCCTTTCACATGGATGTCTCTCTCTCTTTCTCTCCCTCCCACTAAAAAAAAAAAAAAAGAAAAAAGTCTCTAATTCTTTATTTTAAATATCAATTGATAAAGCACAAGGATTGCAGCTTCAATCGTCCCTTTTCCAGAGGACCCAATAAGTGTTCCCTTCATGAGAAACAGATACAGGTTCCTCCTGAAATGTGCAGCCTGGAATCTAGCATTCAGATTCCACCTTAAATGATTAAATCTTGTGCAACTAAATTCCCCTTAAGGATCCAAATGATCCTTCTCCATTCCCTGGTTTAAACAATTAAATATTGATAAGCCCTATTTTTAATACGCTATTAATGTCACTCTACTTTTACTGTTCCTACTGTCATTGCTACAGAAATTCCAAAAAAACAAGTGATAGGGAAAAGAAGAAATTAAAAAATATCACCATAGGAATACATTATTCAATTATGACGTGAATGATTTCAGTCATTTAATAATATATTAAAAGTTATTTCATTGCCCAGCCGGTGTGGCTCAGTGGATTGAACATAGTCCTATGAACTCAGAGGTCCCAGTTTGATTCCCAGTCAGAGCACATGCCTGGGTTTCAGGCTCAATCCCCAGTGGAGAGCGTGCAGGAGGCAGTTGATTGATGTTTCTCTCTCACATCAATGTTTCTATGTCTCTCTCCCTTCCTCTCTAAAAAAATCAATGAAAACATTTTTTTTTTTAATCATGACTTAAAAGAGAAGGCAGAAAATGTATAGAGACAAAAAGTAGATTAGTGTTTATTTATTTAGGACTAAGGGGGATGGGGGAATAGGAGAGTGACAGCTAAAAGGCACAGGGGTTCTATTTGAGGTGATGAAAATGTTCTAAAATTGAATGTGAATTATATCTCATTAAGAAAAAGCCATCATGCCTGCCTGGTGTGGCTCAGTCTGTTGAGTGTCATTCTGTACAACAAAAGGTTGCCAGTTCGATTCCTGGTCAGGGCACATGCCTGGGTTTGGGTTCAATCCCTGGTCAGAGTGCATATGGAAAGCAACTGATCAATGCTTCTCTCACACATCAATGTTTCTCTCTCTCTTTCCCCTCTTCTTCTAAGCATGACTTTGGGTGAGGATTAAAAGAAAAAAAAGCCATTGAGGTTTTGATTGGGATTGCAATGAAATCTATAAATCAATTTGGAGAAAACAGTATCTTTACAATACTGATATTTCCAATACATGAAAATTACATAGTTCTGAATTTATTTGGGTCTCTTTTAGTTTCTCTCAACATTTGGTCCTGGGTATTTGATATTTATGATGTTATCTAAATGGTATCTTTTAAAAAGAGATAGAAGCCCTGGCCAGTTAGGCTCAAGTTAGAGAGTTAGCCCATGGACCAAAGGGTCTCGAGTTCAATTCCTGGTCAAGGGCATGTACCTGGGTTTCAGATTCAAACCCCAGTCCTGGTTGGGGTTGTGCGGGAGGCAACCAATCAATGTGTCTCTCTCACAGTGATATTTCTCCCTCTCTCTTCCGCTCTATCTAAACAAACAAACAAACAAAAAAATCAATGGAAAATATCCTCTGGTGAGAATTAACAAAAAATAAAGAAAAAATAAGAAGAGAAAGCAATGAATTGTTCTAATGTAGGATAAGATGGACTATGAGATGAATATCAAATCATCAAGCTTTCAAAATAAAGAATCACTACATGTGGTCTAACAAATAATTTTTACTAATTTTTAATTTATTTATAGAAAAGTCATGCAAATATATAAAACTTGAAGTACATTTAGTTACACAGTCAATAAATCACATTCTTGAAAAAGAATAAAATTACATAAACCTACAAATATTCTGGAATATTCCATGATAGGTGGGCACCACAGTGAACAGATACTCTCTTATGTTTGTTAGGTTCCTGAGCTTATAGTGAAAACAGAGGCGTTGTTTAATTTCAGTCTCTATATTTATCCAACATATGCATTTATTAGAAATATGCTGTCATATCAAAGAAATTTAACAATGGATAAGAGTACATCTAATGTCAGTAACATTTAAAGTGTTTAAAATGTCCATCATACTGGTGCTAGTTAGTTGAAATATTCCCTAACTACAATAATTAGTTCCCTGGAAGCAGACAATGGAGTTTTTCTTTCATAAAAGAAATTTTTGTTATCTACTAAAATTTAATAAAGATATAAATCACATTTGGGCTTCAAGTTAACCTTGTCTGAGTTACTTAATATTTCTGTGTCTCAGTTTTTCATCTACAAAAGGAGGTTGGATGAAACCATCTCTATAGTTCCAACTTGCTTTCAAATTGTGCTAATTCTATAATAAGGAATCAGCACAATACCACACGGTCATACAATACTTTAAGCAAACACAATGATGTAGTACATCTACACAAGCTAGAGGACTCAATAATAATTAGTTCAAACAAAAAATTCTCTACTTTTGGCCCACATTTAGTGAGCTCCCCAAATATAATTTACACTAAGCTTTTCAAAAACATATTTGATGTTTACTGAAAGTGCAAATTCATGTTTCTGAATTGTAATCTTATACTTTTATTAATAATCATAGTTATCGTGTACTGATATTAGGATAAAAATACAGTATATATGAAACCATTTTAGAAGGCCATTTCTAATTCTAAGAGTCTATATTTCAGACATTTTTTAAAGTATTCAAATAAACCTATATTTTTTAGTGGGATCATTTCTCTTTGTTGGAGTGATGTGAGAGACAGGACTTTATCTCAGAGACTCTCAGAAACTATGTAACCCAGAAATTATGTACCTAAAATTAACAATAATATATTGAAGGGAAAAATTACTTAATATGAAAAAGTTACCTGATCAATGATAGAATTTAGCTTGGTAAGTAAAAGAAATCCTCGGCCGTGGACAAGGTATTGTCCAAGGGTTGCCATGTGTGTCTCCTCCTCCTCTTCTTCTTCCTCCCTGGCCTCCACCCTCTGGACCACTGCATTGCAAAGCCGGTTGACATCGGTCAGAAATTCACGTGCTAAAGAGTTACTGTCGGTGCTCATGACAGAGCTATAAAATAAATATTACAAAAAAGATTAGAAAATAAAAAATTTACATTTAAAACTATGAGATTTTATTGTTGTTGTTTTTTTATTTGTTTTTGTTTGTTTGTTTTTAATCCTCACCTGAGGATATTTTTCTATTCATCTTCAGGTAGAGAAAGAGGGAGGAAGAGAGAGAGAAACATTGACGTGAGAGGGACAGACACATCGACTGGTTGCCTCCCACATGACCCCAACCAGGGCCAGGTACAAACCACAACTGAGGTATGTGCCCTTAACCAGAATTGAACTTATTGGTCCGCAGGCCAACGCTCTAACCATTGAACCAAACCGGCCAGGGCTTTATTGTTTGTTTTTATCTAAAGACTGACTTTAGCCCTGGCCGGTTTGGCTCAGCGGTTAGAGCGTCCGCCTGCGGTCCGGAGAGACCCGGGTTCGGTTCCCGCTAGGGGCATGTACCTTGGTTGCAGTTTGTCCCCGGCCCTGGTTGGTCATGCGGGTGGCAGCCACTCGATGTGTCCCTTTCACATCGATGTTTCCCTCTCTCTCTCTTCCTCTCTCTCCCTCCCACTCTGTCTGTACAAAGGATGGAAAAATGTCCTCGGGTGAGGATAAAAAAATAAATAAATAAATAAAGACTGACTTTAGCCCTGGCCAGTTTGGCTCAGCGGTCAGAACGCTGGCCTGGGGACCAGAGAGTCCCGGGTTCAATTCCCGCTAAGGACATGTACCTTGGTTGCAGTTTGTCCCCGGCCCTGGTTGGGGTCGTGTGGGTGGTAACCAGTCGATGTTTCTCTCTCTCTCTCTTCCTCCATCTCTCCCTCCCACTCTATCTGAACATAAATGCAAGAATGTCCTCAGATGAAGATAAAAAAAAAAAAGACTGACTTTAAATTACTGGGCACTGGTATTTAACCCTGTAATATTTTCAGACATGGTTCTGACCTAGTCAGGTACTCCTTAAATATTCATGCCAGGCAGAAATTAGTCCTAGGTGTGAAATGCTTAAGCTGAACCAAGTGTGGGTAAGTGAAAACACCTAAACGGAGAATACTAACTAATGAGTGACAACTGTGAACGTAAATTCCAACTTTCTGTCTTAAATAGGCTCACTGTGGAACAAAAATAATACCATTACTTATAAAATAGTCTTGCTTTACATGTTTTAAAAGATAAATAGATCTTTTAAAAATATAAACTTTTTTCACTTGATTAAACTGACAATCACTGACCCACTCTCCCCACACTCCATGCAGTTAAGGAGGGGAAAGGATTTATGGGCAGGTGAATAAAAACTAAAGAATTCTAGTAGTTGAAGTTATGCCACTTTTTATTTTATTTTTGTTTTTTATTCCTCACCCAAGGATACTTTTTCATTTATCATCAGATAGAGTGGCAGGGAGGGAGAGAGAGGGAGAGAGAGAGAGAGACAGAGAGAGAGAGACAGAGAGAGAGACAGAGAGAGAGAGAGAGAGAGAGAGAGAGATCGACGTGATAGAGCCTCCCACGCAACCTGACCAGGGCCAGGGACAAACCTCAACCAAGGTATGTGTCCTTGGCCGGAATTGAGCCCACAACTAATTGGTCTGCAGGCCGACACTCTAACGCTGAGTTAAACCGGCCAGGGGTGAAATTATGACACTTCACTTTATACCACACATTTGAATCAAATAAAGGAAATGTGGCATTTTAAGATTAGGGCCCTAGCCAATTTGGCTCAATGGTAGAGTGTTGGCCCACAGACCAATGAGTCGCGGTTTGATTCTGGCCAAGGGCACATACCTTGGTTGCGGGTTTGTCCCGGGCCCTGGTTTGGGTTGTGCTGGAGGCAATCAGTTGATGTGTCCCTCTCACGTCTATGTTTCCCTCTCTCTTCCTTTGTCTATCTCCCTCCCACTTTATCTGCAGATAAAAAGAAAAATTTTCTCAGGTGAGAATTAAAAAAAGAAAAACAGTAAGGTAAAGCAAAAGAGATGGGAAAACACAAATATAAAGAAAAAATGTATAAATACAAAGGAAAAATGATGAACAATAAAATCCCAAATAGTCTCATGTTGGGGCTACAAGTAATTTTGAGAGCTCCAGCATTATAAAACATTAAAAAAATTTTAACCTGAGAGATGGGTATCAGGAGTCTTTTCTTCACCTACTTTGAGGGAAGCTCTCTCCATGGTACCTGCTGAGAAGGCACTGGAACATGTGACCGTGCCTCAGCCAATGGGCACAGCCAGCCTCTGGGCCTGACTGACTGAAGCAAACATGCTGGCCACAGATGTGACCTCTACAGTGCAGCTTGCAAAGAGGCACTGGGCAGTCAGATTTTCTTTCTCTTTCATAGGAATTTGGATGGAGGTACAGAGTTAATGTGCGGAAAAGTCACACAGATATGGGCCCGTGGTGGTCGTGATGAGGCATTTAACGCTAAGAAAAGCCAACTGGGTAAAAGTGAACCAAATGAATGCAGAGTAGGTAAACAGGAAAGAGGAAAACCAAAAAAATTCCTAATATAACTTTGGTTCCTGTTCACTCTAGATCCTGAGGGCTTAATTCCTGGATTCCCATCAGGATTCTGGGCATTATTATAATAACAATCCCCTCTTTAGTATATCAAATATTATTTTTAATATTATTGGACTTTAGAAAAAGCAATAACCTCTATTATACACAATATTGGTTATAAGTTTTCATAAAGTAAAATTGTTCAATCCAACTTTATTACCTTATTTTACTTAATCTGTCACTGATTTTAACATGCATAATTATTTAGTGTACAACTAAAAAAAAGATACTGCCAATTAAACTATAACGCAATATTTCCGAATCCAAATTTCCCATGCAATATCACCTTCTGGGCCATCAAAAAAATCCGATGCACCACTTCCTAACAGTGCTACTATACTGTTCTTGGGATTTTCTGAGTGATGCTGATATCATTCTGTAAGCTGTGATTCTGGTGCATTCTTAGTCTTATCAGATGAAATCAGCGGAAGTTTCAGAAACCAGGAAACATTTCAAACTCATGTAGTACTGACAATGCATGCAACTCGACTGAAGCGCTGATGTGAACAGTTATGACCAAGTCCACTCATAAGTGGCAAGAACAACTCCTTCAAAAGTGCAGCCTACTGACAGTGCTTATAAGACACCATCTATTGCAAGGCACACTGAAACTTCAGAAATAGTAAAAATGTAAAAATTATAAAGTTGCGGTAATAATTAGGCCTATCTTCTAGGAATTAAGATCATGGAAATTAAGATAAATTTTTATAAATGACAATTCATGAGGAAATATTTTCAATCCCACTTCCTAAAAAAAAAAAAACCCATGTCGCCCAGCCGGTGTGGCTCAGTGGTTGAGCGTCGACCCATGCACCAAGAAGTCGCTGGTTCGATTCCTGGTCAGGGGACATGCCCAGGTTGTTGGCCAGATCCCCAGTGGGGGGCATGCAGGAGGCGGCCAATCGATATTCTCTCTCATCAATGTTTCTCTCTCTCTCCCCCCTCCCTTCCTCTCTCTCTAAAACCAATAAAGAAAAATAATTTAAAAAAAGAAAAGAAAAAGATGCCATGTCAATAAAAGGCATTATAAATTATGGAACATCGTATTCCTGATTTTATAATGTACATAAATATATATAGTTATACAAATAGGGTGTTATATATAAATGAACCATTACCTGCTTTAATTCATGTAGATATTTTAGAAATGTTACTTTTCAACAGATGCATGCATACAGCACATATATTTCATTATACAGATGTACACAACTAGGCAGCCAATTTCTCACTGTTGAATAGTTAGGTTATTTCTAGTTTTTTTTTATTATTATAAACAAAGCTGCAATGAACATCCATATACTACTTGCACATTTATCCTATTATTTCCTTGAAGTAGAAATTGCTGTTACTTCATATAACTGACTTTACACATTTCTTGTTAGGTTTATTTCAAAGTGTTTTATAATTTTCGCCATTATTCTGATGGGATTTTTGTTTTCCATTATATATTCAAACTAGGAGAGATAACCGGTATTTAGGAGGCACACAGGAAGTAGATTTATTTTGATATATCTAAGATACATCTAAGTTTCTTAATAAACTCTTTTATTGACTTTTTTGGAATTTCCAGATGTAAAAGCCTATCACCAACAAAACACAAAAATTCTGAATTCTCCTATCCAATACTCACATACTTTTTATTCTTCTAACTGCATTAGTTAGCACTTAACAGAACGACACTGGTAGGGGTGAGAGGGAGCACTTTTGCTTTGCACATTTTAAAGTATCCATTCTTTCCTATTTATCTAATAGGAATGCTGCATTAACTGAATGCCCTTCAACATTCTGAATTCCAACTTAAAAGATAATTGCACAGTATTTTTAAGATTAAAAAAAATATTTCAAATACCCCAAAAAGTACAAAGAACATATGAGGTTACAGCCTATATTCATATCCAAGAAGTATTAACACTATGCTACGTTCAGAGTCAGTTCATGTGCATGCATGTTCATGTGTACGTGTATGTATGTGTATAAAGAAATCAAACTTTACAATACAAGAAAGCTACATGCCATCCACACCTCTTTCATCCCTAGTTGGTGTTTATCATTTTCAAACATATTTTTATAATTTTTGACATGTTTACCGTCATAAAAATACTATTTTAACTATTTTAAAAATTTATATAAATGGTATGCTATATATATAACTTTGCTTTTCTCTCAACATTATGTTCATTCCTTTAAACCACTGTGTAAAATTTCATTGTATGAATAAACAACAATATACATATTCATCTCTTCTAAAGGAAAGTTTAGTTGATTTTACTTTGCAGCTTACTTAATGTCAAATAACTGTAGTTTCAAAACCTTAGACTGAACCAAGTAGATAATATTTACTTCGTTAAATACTTACCAGTCTTTCAACACTTCTGTAACATTTAGAGTATAATCTGAGCTCATGAACTAGATGAAACAAATATTCTTAGAATAAAGCTTCACCTACAAAAAAAAAAAAAAAGACATATCAATGGCAATAGTAACTTTAACAAAGTTCTGACATACAAATCAGTGGCCAGTCTTCATATCTGGTGTATGAAACAGCAATTACTGTTTAGAATCTCAAGAGCACACCAAAAACACCTAGAGCTTCAAGAAGGGAGTCTTAGAACATATTTGATCTGAACAAGGTAACTTGATCATAGCTCCCCAAACCTTCTCTCCCAGAACCTAACTTACAACCTCCAGGTAAATCACCAGTTAACTAATAAGGGAAGGAAATCAGACTAGTATCAGTCTTCTTAACACTGGAATCTAGAAGGCAGTGGAATATCACCTACATACTATGGACAGCCAAGTAAGTTACTCTTAGGTAAGAGTGAAAGATACTGGGGATACATAAGAACTCCAAGTATACCAAAGCCAATGAACAAACCACCACCAAATATATCCTTGTTGAATTTTTTAAATGAACTACTCTTTTGTGTATTATACAACGCTATTTATAAAATATTAAATGATACATTCCTATTGCTGGGATAGCAACAAGATACTTCTCTTTAGTTATGTTTTCCTCTTCTCCATAGTTTTTACCAGACAGAGGCATGAAAAGATTTCCTTATTACAGTTATAAGACAAACATGAAGGTTCATTTTGAACCGCACATTTTAAAAATCAGAATGATCTTTAAACTACTTCAAAATGCTCAAATCTAGAGAACTGTCTTGAATTCCTTTCAGCTAGGCAAACAGTTCTTTCTTCTTTTTCTTTTTTTTAATCCTCATCTGAGGACACTTTTTGCATTCATAGAGGGAGAGGGAGAGAGGGAGGAAGAGAGAGAAAGAGACATTGATGTGAGAGAGACACATCGACTGGTTGCCACCCACACAACGCCAACCAGGGCCGGGGACAAACTGCAACTGGCGTACATGCCCCCTTAGCGGGAACCGAACCTGGGTCTCTCCGGACCGTGGGCCGACGTTCTAACTGCTGAGCCAAACCGGCCAGGGCTCTTTTTCTTTTTTTAATCCTCACCCGAGGATATGTTTTTTTCATTAACTCCAGAAAAAAAGAAAGGGAGAGGGAGAGAGAGAAGAGGGGAAAAGAGAGGAAGAGAGGGTGAAAAGGAGAGAGAGAGAAATATCCATGCGAGAGAGACACATTGATTGGTTGCCTCCCATATGTGCTCTGACTGAGGATTGAACCCACAACCTGGGTATGTGCCCTGACCAGGAATGTGCCCTGACTAGGAATCAAACCTGAGACCCTTCAGTGCACGAGACAACGCTCCAACCACGCAGGCCAAGGCCCCAAGGATATTTTATGGGTTTTAGAGAGATGAGGGGTGCGGGGAGTGAGAAAGAGAGAAAAAAACATTGATCGTTTGCCTCCCTTAAGCACCCAGACTGGGGATAGAACCCACAACCGTTCTGATGTACCGGACGGTGCTCCAAATGAGTCACCTGGCTAGGGCAGCAGGGTTCTTATAACCCACACTAATCTATGCACTTGAGGATAATGTAGGCAGGAAACGGGACAGAGCTGGTGTTAGACTGCACAGGATTTAGTGTGAATTAAGAAAAAAACATCTCTTCCCAGGCTGGTGCAGCCCCACATTAGGCACACAGCTATCAAAACACAGGCCAGGTTTCAGTCCCACTCACCCACTTCATCCACTGCCAAGCACCAGTGGCCAGTGCATCAACTTGCTCAACCAAATGGAACAGCCCTAGGATGGAGCCTCAATACACATTCCATACCTGATCCTGCTGTCTCTTGAGCTAATCAAAATCATCCATACATTTTTAACTCTAAAATTATGGAAAGGAAAATAATCAGCCCAATTAAATTATGAGCACAGCCCGGCCAGTGTGGCTCAGTGGTTGAGCGTCAACCCATGCACCAAGAGGTCGCTGGTTCGATTCCTGGTCAGGGGACATGCTCAGGTTGTGGGCCGGATCCCCAGTGGGGGACATGCAAAAGGTGGCCATTTGATGTTATCTCTCATCAATGTTTCCATCTCTCTCTTCCTCTCCCCTCCTCTCTCTCTCTCTCTCTCTCTCTAGTATCAATAAAGGAAAACAAAAAAATTAAAATACATAAATAATAAATTATGAGCACAGAGGTGGTACTGTATTAGCTGCTCTGAAGACTAGTACCCTCTAGCTGTACAAGGAGCCAGGATGAGTCCAGCTAACTCGGCATGGCCATTAGAAGTAAAAGCCAACTGATTCTCTCTTATCAAGGGACAATTCTAGGCCAAGGGAGGGATTTCTCTAATGCTCTTAAACTAGAATGGCTTCTTTATCTCTGTATTTGGCAAAGCCCACTTTGGAAATTCATGGGGTTTCACTCTATCCAAGCTCATAATTCTGTCAGCACAATCAGCTGGGCCCTCCTTCACTAGGCCTCCACTCTTGACGCACAGCTAGCTGTTCTCATTTTTACCACCCTATAACACACTGGGTGTCCATAAAGTCTAGAAATGCAGGTTTTAAAAATAGATTGGAGATATCCTTAAGGTCATTACATATACTTGCCTCTAATGACATTTCCAAACTACATGGACACCCTATAGTTACCCCGTAGGTCACAAGTTCCTCAAGCCAGGGACCCTGTCTTATTACTTTTTGCACTTTATAGCTATAATGCCAAATTTTAAATTTATCAATATTACTATAATTTTCAACTTCCAATGCAACAATTGTTGTAATACCATAATGAATAAAACTTGCTAAAATTATTAAAATTTTTATATTCTTAAAATTTAGCATAACTGAAAGTCGTAACAAAATGCCTATAATCATATAAATGACCCTTTAAGAAAAATAACAGATTTCACTTTCTCTAATATAGTGATTGGTAAAGTTTAAAACACAAATGGCCAAAACAAAAAGCAAAAAACTGACAATGTATTCGCTACACCTCCTAGTCTGATGTCATCAAAAATTTCATCAGTATGCCATTCAATTCAACAAATATTTATTGAACATTCCCACATGCCAACTACTATTTTTGGCACTAGGTATGGAGTATAAACAAAATTCCTATCCTCATGAGTGTGGTGAGGTAGAAACAAAGAACACACACTGTGACATCAGGCAGCCTAAGTGCTATGGGACAAAGCAGAACCGAGTAAGTGCAGTGCTAGGGGTGCTACTTTAGATACGGTGCACAAGGAATGTCTGAAGAGGCAATATCTGAGCAAAAGGAAGGAAGGAAGGAACTGGGCCATGAGGGTATCTGGGCAAAGAGCATTCCAGGGCACTAAGATTAGTGTATGCTTTCTGCATCGGATGCTGAATGGGAGAGAAAAAAAGAAGTTAAAAATTATACCAAGTGAGAAAAGCCACTCACTCCTGCTTTCAGGGACTGAAGTGAGGTGTGGAAAGAGGAAACAGAAGTGTTCCCTCTAACAGTTTCTCTCTGCCCTCAGAGCCCCCCAGCCCCCCAAAAAGACGCCAAGGTGTTTTAGCCTGCGTGAAGAGCAGCCCTGCATACTGACAGGTAAGGTTGACAAAGAGCAGGACGAGGGGGAAAACAACATTATGTTTTAGCTATGTTCAGTTTGACAGGTCTCTTAGAAACCAAGTAAAGGATAGCAAGTAGACAGCTGGGTATACCAACTGGAGTTCAGGTGCGGAGGCTGTAACTGGTGAATCAATCTGGGAGTCATCAGCATACAGACGCATTTTAATGGACTAGATGGATGAGAGAGCCCAGAGCAGTGCTGTCCAACAGAACTTTCCGCACTGACAGGACTGTGGCTAGTGGTGGCCTAGAGAAATGTAAATGGGGCAGAGGGGAGGTTCTAGGACTGAGCCCTGGGGTTAGCATCCCTAAGTCAGAGAGAGGAGAAGGACCCAGCACATGAAACTGGGAAGCAGCAGCAAATGAGGAAGGAGAAAAATCAGGAGAGTGGTGCCACCCAGAAACTAGGTGAAGAAAGTCTGAAACAGGAAAGAGTGATCAACTGTGTCAAATATTGCTGAGAGATTCAGTAAGGTGAAGACTGGGAACTGACTACCAGATTTAGCAACATGGAAGTTACTAATACCTTGTCAAAGAGTGGTCTCAGTGAGGTGCAAAGAGTGGCAAGGAAATGAAGGTAAGGAGTTTAGACAGCTCTTTTAAGACATTCTGCTCTAAAGAATGGCAACAAAATGGGGACTTAGGATAGGAGAGAGTTTTATTTTTATTTTTTTAAAGAAAGATATTATAGTGTTTGTAAGCTGAAATATTATAGCATGTTTGTATAGCATCTTTGTCCAACAGAGAAAGTAAAATAGATGAAAAACTAGAATGAGAGGAGATAATTTCAGGAACAATGAGTAAGCAACATGAAGAGGAGCCATTGTACAAGTGGGAAGAACAGGGATGGTTCAGCTAATGAAATAAGGATGACAGAGCACATGAGCACAGATGCAGGAAGATTAGTGTATCTGGCAGTGGAAGGACCAAGATGGGGTTGCTTCTATTTCCTCAGTGAAATAAGCTGCAAGGTTATCAGCTGAGAATGAGCAGTGGGAGGAGGTGTTAAACTGACAGGTGGAACAGGGTCAGAAACAGCAGCCCATAGAGATTTCCTATAAGTCTGCCAATAAGTAACTAAGATGGAGTGCTGTTGTTCAATAACTACCCATATTACAGTCCACTTCTCCACCATGTCCCCAAGAATAAGATATAGGACAGATGTCAAAGACCTTATGGGAATCTAGATCTCTTTCAATGGCAGCATCCTCCTAATCTGCACATGTCTCTGTTAAAAGGTGAAGACTGTGCCTGGCTGGTGTGGCTCAGTGGATTGAGCGTAGTCCCATGGACTCAGAGGTCCCAGTTCGATTCCCAGTCAGGGCATATGCCAGGGTTTCCGGCTCGATCCCCAGTAGGGGGCGTACAGGAAGCAGCCAATTGATGTTTCGCTCTCAAATCGATGTTTCTCTCTCTCTCCAAAAAAATCAATAAAAACATTAAAAAAAAGGTGAAGACGGGGCCTAGACCAG